ATATATATATATATACATATATTCATATATTTATATATATATATATATATATATATATATGTATATATATATATATATATTTATTTTATATATATTTATATTTATATATATGTATATATATATAAGTATATATATATATATACATATATTTATATATATATGTATATATGTATATATATATATACATGTATACATGTATATATGGATATACATATACATATATATACATGTATACATGTATATATACATATATGTATATGTATATACATATATACATGTATACATGTATATATGTATATATATGTATGTATACATATATACATGTATACATATATATATATACATATATGTATATATTTGTATATGTATATATATATATGTATATATTTGTATATGTATATACATATATATATGTATATACATATATGTTGAATCTCGGATTTGATGATAAAATCAATTGATCAATTATTTGATCTAATCTATATGTTGATAAAAGTGTGTAAGATTAACTACGATAGCGTTAAGAAAAAAGCAAATGTTGTGCTGGAGTAAAAATCGGGACTTCGTTGAGAGTTCGAGAGTTCGTCGGATGTTCTACCGGAACTGACCGAGAAGTCCAGGAGCTTGTTAAAGAAGCTCGTCGGAACTCACTAAGAATATCATCGTAAAGTCCAGGAGCTTGCCGGGATTCTGTCGTAACATTGTCGAGAGATCATCGGAAGTTCGCCGGAAGATCGTCGAAGCTCGCTGGAAGAACAATTGACATACCGGAATAAGAATGTTTTGTTAAATGTCTTAATTATTGTACTTAGAACTTAAGTTGAGTTAGGATTGGGAGGTAATCCCACTAACTCAATTATGGGTCAATTGGGCCCTTAACTGGGTTGAATTGGATCGGTTGAAACAGCCCATTCGGCACTTGAAGTCACGGCCAATGGTGGCACCTCCTAGTGACCCAGTCTCCCAGGTGGTCTAGGCGGTGGTACTGCCAGCAGTTAATGCTGCCAATGGTGGCACCGCCCTTGTTAGGCGGTGGTACCGCCCAGTGTCAAAGTGTCAGGCAGTGGTACCGCCCAATACTGGCTGTGTTATCACTAGTACCGTAAAAATTCGGAATGAGACACTTTTTGGCTCAAATTTAGAAGCCATTAGGGCCTATAAATACCCCACCCTTTTCTGCATGAAAGGGTAACAAAGTACAATCAAAATTGTGAAAAATCTTAAGTGTTGGGATGTTAAAAGTGTTATAAAAGTAAGAAGAGTCCTCATCCTCCCTCTCTTAGCTTTGTAATCATCTAAGAAAGAGGAGCAATGCTCGTAAGGGTTATCTCCTAAATCCGTAAAAATGATAAAGCACTGTAAAGAGGTGGTTGGTCTTTGCCTATTGAAGGAGGACCATTAGTAGACGTCGATGACCTCGATGGAGGAAGAATCGGAAGTGGATATATGTCACAACGACCGAACCACTATAAATTCCGGTGTGTTCTTTCCTTACTACAAATTCTCTTTACTATATTCAACTTTACTACATTGCAAACTGCCCAACCTTTTCTTCTCTACTTATTTAAAGTAAAATAAATGATTTGAGTCAAAATCGGTTTTTATCGTACGAAGGCTTTCGAATCAACGTAATTTTTTCACTGCACTAATTCACCCCAATCTTAGTGCCGCTCTTGATCCTAACAATTGGTATCAGAGCAAGGTCACTCTCCTTTGGTTTGAAACCCAATAGAGATGACATTTGTTGGCCACCAAGAGGGTCATTCAATTACATGTCCACTCATGTTCAATAGGACGGGTTATATATATTGGAAGACTAGAATAAGGATTTGTCTAATTTTAATGGATTTTGAGTTATGTAACCTTGTAGAAAATGGCTTTCAAAAGTCTTCTCTTCCAATAAGCGATTGGAATGAGTTGGAGAAGAAGACTTTCAATTTAAATACCAAGGCTATGAATGCTTTGTTTTGTGCTTTAGATAAAAACGAGTTCAATCGAATGTCTGTTTGTGAAACGGCTTTTGATATTTGGCACATACTCGAAATTACTCATGAAGGCACTAATAGAGTAAAGGAGTCGAAGATAAATCTTTTAGTTCATACTTATGAATTGCTTCAGATGAAGCCAAGTGAGACTATTGTCGACATGTACACCCGTTTTATGGATGTCGTCAATAGTTTAAAAGCTTTTGGCAAATGTTTTTCAAACTTTGAACTTGTTAACAAAATCTTGAGATCCCTTCTAAAGAGTTGGGACCCTAAAGTAATGGTCATTCAAGAGGCTAATGATTTAAACAACTTTCCTCTCGAAGAACTTATCGGGTTATTAATGACCTATGAGATGACTTGAAACGCTCATGAAGAGCTTGAGAACAACCATCCAAAGAATAAGAAGGATATGACACTAAGAACTCAAGAAGACCACTTGAAAGAAAATTTAAGTGATGAGGACTATGATGATGACTTGACACTCTTAAAAGAAAGTTCAAAAAATTTGTAAAAAAAAAAAAATTTAAAAATGATACTAAAAATAAATTTGAACCCAAGAAAGAACAAGTTATATGCTATGCAAGAAGCCGGGACATTTCAAATGCGAATATCCCCAAGCAAAGAAGAAGCAACCAAAAAAGAAGAATGCTCTTAAAGCAACATGGGACGACTCAAGTGCATCTGAAAATAAGGAGCCAACTAACACAGAGCAAGTTGCTCACTACGTACTAATGGCTATCAGAGATGAGATAAGCAGTTCGTTAGATGCAAATTTATCTTTCGATAAGCTTTTAAGTGCTTTTCATGAATTATTTGATGAATGTAGAACTTTGAGTAAAAAGTATAACTCTTTAAAAAAGAGCATGCCATTTTAAATATTGAATTTGAAAACTTAAGCATGATAATCCTTCTTTGCCTCCATATACTAACTGTGAACACTTAGAGGCACTTAAGAAGGAAAACTTGCTACTCAAAGAAACTTTAGAAAAGTTTGAGGTTGGTTGTAAGTCCTTGAACATGATCCTTACCAATAAGGGTCACGTTCGTAGAAGAGGTGGAATTGGATTTGTGAGTAGCTCTCACCAAAATCCAACCACCTTTATTAAAGGTCCTACCTTGTATGTTTCACCCCGAAACAAATATAACTTTTATTGCAAACTCGGATATGTTACGTACAAATATTCATTTAAGAGATATAGTCCACATAAATTGATTTGGGTTCCTAAAGGAACTACAAATGACTCAATGCAACATGATAAGTTGTGTAGATCGATTTTTGAGGCACCCAAGGTCAAATGGGTACCTAAAAATCATCCTTTTTTATAGAAATATTTACCATCACAAGCTAGGAGCAAAAGATGATACCTTGATAGTGGATGCTCAAGGCACATGACTGAAAATCCATCTCAATTCTCTAAGCTCACTAGCCTAGACGAAGGGTATGACACCTTCAGAGACAACAACAAGGGTAAAATCATTGGCAAAGGAACCATAGGTAACAAATCCAACTTTCTGATTTAAGATGTATTATTGGTTAATACCTTAAAGCATAATCTTTTGAGCATTAGTCAATTATGTGATAAATGATACATCATTAGATTTAAATCCAATGCTTGCATTATTGAAAAACCACACAAAAACACATCTATGATTGCCCTAAAATAAAATAATGTATACACTGTCGACTTTGATGATCTTTATAATAAATGTGCTTTTCGGTTTTGAATAACGATGCTTGGTTTTGGTATAGGAGATTAGGTCATATTAGCAAGAAACTAATCTCTCAAATCTCATCTAAAGAACTTGTAAGAGGTATTCCTAATATTAAGTTCGTCAAAGACAATATATGTGATACATGTCAACTAGAAAAATAAATAAAATGTAGTTTCAAACCAAAGAATCAAATAAGCACCTTTAGACCATTGCAATTAATCCATATGGATTTGTTTGGACCAATTGATACATCAAGCCTAGGAGGTAGCAAATACGCCTTTGTAATTGTGGACGATTATAGTAGATACACTTGGACATACTTCTTGGCATACAAAAGTGATTGCTTTAGGTATTTTTCAAAGTTTTGTAAATTTGTTCAAAATGAAAAAGGCTTTATGATTTCATCAATTCGGAATGATCATGGTGGCGAATTTCAAAACCGTAATTTTCAAACTTTTTATGAATCTAATGGATACAACTATAATTTCTATAATCCAAGAAATCCTCAAAAAAATGAAGTAGTAGAAAGAAAAAATAGAAACTTACAATAAATGACAAGAACCATGTTGAACGAACATAGCCTA